TTATATTCTCTTGTTTTCATTTTCATTTGCATTTCTAAGTCAAACCTGGAATTCTTTCTCCATACAATGGATTTGACAATGCCATTCCACATTCTGTCATTCCATAACGTTCAAGAAGATTATAACCGGTTATTTCATGCCATCGCCGATAAATGCTTTCGGGTAATGCAGCAGAACCACACATCATTAAACGAATCTTTTGTGAACATTGTTCACGAATAATATCTCTTGTTTGAGAACATGATGCATATTTAGCATCGTAATCATCAGTAAGTTTTGCATAAACTGTTGGTACACCTGTAAAAACTGTGATTTGTTGTTCAGGACCAGGACGTATTAAATATTCCCATACCTACATTACAAAAAGTAAAGAATTAAAAAGAAAACAAATTTTTTTTTATTTTAAATAACCTTCGATGCATCAAAACGAGGAACCATGATTACTTTAGCACCAATAAAATGTGGAGTTAATAATCCATTAATAAGGCCATGAATATGATGAAGTGGTAAAATATGTAATATGACTAAACATCACATAGAACAATTAATTTCCTAATTAAGAAAAAAAAAGCATTTTACCATCATCTATTGTCCAACCCCAAGCTTTAACCATTGAATCAACATGTGCTTGAACAGCATTAAATGTTATTACACATCCTTTTGGTTTACCACTTGTTCCACTTGTATAAAGGATTAAAGCATTTTTTCGATCAATTGTTGGTGATATTAAATTATCACCTTGTGTAATATTTGATGTTAAATCATTTTTATTAATATTTATAATAGGTATATCAATTTGTGAATTGTTTTCTAAAGTTGTTTTAATCAAATCATTACTATGATCATCACCAACAATAACTGCTCGACATTGTGCGTCATTGAGAAAATAAGCAATTAATGTTGATGGATGATGTAATGATAGAGGAATTACGGTTGCCCCAATCATCCATGAAGCCCACAAAGCAATAACAAATGATGCATCGTTTGGACATAAGATACCAATTTGTACACTATTTCTATCAACCGTATCATCAGTAGATTTCTCTTGTTGACAAAGTGAATTAAGACGATATGAAAGTTGACGTGCAATAGAATAAAGTTGTTCATAAGTATACGAAGATGATTGATCGACTAATGCTACTTTATTTCCATATCGAGAAATCGATTCATAACAAATAGGACATGATGCAGATATATTACAAGCACTCATCCAAAAAAGAAAACAGAAGTAATAAGTAAAACAATAACAAGCACAATACGATTTGTAGGTTTATTTTTCAAGGGATACTTAGAAAATTCGCAGGGATTTCAAAAAAAGTGTAAATGTGCGTACGGTTTTATCAGTGCATACAAAGCTCATAATCATTAGATCGTTCTCTTCCGAATGATAGCTCGATGGTCTTTCTATGTTATACAGCGGCGGAGGAAATCAGCAGCCTACGAAGAAGGAGTGAATATATTGTTCTATGGAGCACTTTCTCCAATACCGACGCTACTGGGAATCTCAGGCAAAATAAGTTTTTCATTATGGTTCAACTTTCGGAAAACAGGAAAGACTTCTGTGGTAATATTGTAGACCGTGTCAAGTTCTGTCATATAGCAGGGATTCATAGGAGACTGATTTTGTTTTGATGAGGTACGAAATTTTAAAATAAGATATCTAAGATAAGATTGTTCAAAAAACCGGTGTCCATATTAATGATATACTTATCAAAATTTGTTCGCGGTTTGTAATAAAAAAATGTCTGCAAATTTTTTGCAACTCTACTGAATAGTATATGAAAAGTTAATATTTGACATCCGCGTAGGAAAATCTTTTCCTTCTCTTCAAGTTATGGTATTGGTGGATCTATAGAATTGAACTAAGTGACTACGGGCATGACAGTCTGTTTTGGAAGTAATAAAAAAATATCAAAACTCATAAACTTGTTTGGTAAGCTCATATTTAAATAGTCATATAAACTAAATTAACTTCACTTAATCTATGCTGTAATTCAAATCGTCTAGTATATCGATATAAAGTTTCAAAATAAACCATCTTTCTCATCTGCGATTATTGAGAAAACAATGGCTGAATATCGATTTTCACCTTTCTGAAATTGATAAACAATTGCCATTCATAATTATTTTAAATTCGAATTTTCTTTTATGGCAGATAATTAAATCGGACAAATTATTCTCTACGTTCAACAATTGATAAACTCACGCACTTTATTTTTCAATTGATTATTGATGTATTGATACTATTATAGAACGAAATAGTTCAAAATTGTGTAGAAGTTAACACTTTATTTTTTATGTTTGTGGTCGAAGATGAAAGGAGTGACTTCTTAAAGAAATGACAACGATACGACTTTTATTATAAAGTTTATTATATTCTCTTATCTTTTTAAGTGGTTTCATGACAGCATTATTTGCAAACACTAGAGATTTGATGAGAATTCTTTTCTTCGTCAGTTGGTTGTGTTTAAAACAGTAGTGTCAAACCTGAAACTTGAATTCAATTATTGAATATCCTATTCAATTATTCAATTATTCGCTTTTCTCTTCGAATAATTGAACTTCAACTCTTCTGTAAACATTGAATAACTTAATAGTCGAACTTCAACTATTGAAAAAAATTGAATAGTTGAATAGATGAAGTTCAAGTATTCAAAGAAACATTGAATACTTGAACAGTAACTATTCAAGAAAATGAATAGTTGAACAAACCGTTCAATAATTGAATTCAAGTTTCAGGTTTGACACTACTGAAAATGCCCACATATATAATTTTGATGTAATATTTACAAAGATAACAAACCATAGTTACCGTGCAATGACGCAATACGATGATCAAGACAAAAACAAAGACGTGATAAACAAAATATTCATGCATAAAAATGAATAGAAAAGGAAAGATGCGGCACGACACTCATACAGAATTTTCTTCATATCAAAGGTCACTGACGCATGATACACTGTCCGTTTGTTTTGAGAAAGAAAGAAACGCATGGTACAAATGGTCAATATAACATACCATTTCACTTTTCATATGTAATGAGTAAGAGTCGTTGAATGGTGTACAGAACGTAAAAAAACAATGTGACCGATTCATGCCCACATAGTAATGAATTGAATGCAACTTATCATACAGTTCAGTAGTTCATACATATTAACTTGATGATCGATCAGATACATTATAATAACTGGTGAACTCCAATTGGACGGACAGTGAGTCCATAAAATGTCACACGAAGTGTACAACCATGAGCAATTTCGTTAGTTTACATTTACTATATTTCATGAATATTGATCATTTTTTTGTGTCTGGGAAATAAAATTAAAAATTTTCTTTCATTGATGACCGACAAAAACAATCGTTCGAATTAAAAGTTTAGTACATGAATTTTTTGACAGCTTTTTGATTATCGTAACTGAAATCGGTAAATTCGCGGAAAAAAAGCCAAAATCAATTTATTGTGAAATTCGTTATGCTTTCAAAATGCACATTGATCAACTAGTTTGTTGAAGGTTGGGCGTGGATGAGAAAAACTGTGCATGAATATGAGTTGCACGTTGGTGAGAGTGGCAGTACAGGTGCATGGTATTGGAAAGCAGCGCCTTTCCTAGCTTCATCAATCCCCTCATCCTTTTTGAACTGCTTATCGTATTTCGAAAAAAAAATCTACCTTATTATTGTCTTAATTTTGTAATAATATGTAAGATGCAATAATAGTTTTATAGTTTGGCAGTTGTAATTATATTTGAAATATGATAATAGATGAATACGCGAACATTGCATATCTGTGAAATCTTATTTTATTTTTAGTGTTATTAGTTTTTAAGCACAGAAAAGATTATTTATAGGATGGTAATAACAGTGAGAAAGATCCCAATGAAAATTTCCAAAAATTATAAATAACAGACATTGGCAGAAACACACAAAAGAAATGATATTAGGATGAATGGAAATATTTTCCAGATGATTGGAAAAAAAAACCCATATGCACATCTCTAAATGGGATCGAATGAATAATAACATGCAAAATCATTAATTTTCATGCCACTTATTTTAAGATTTTATTATTTAAATTCAAGTTTTCAAATCCGTCTCTCTTTGCAAAATATTTCCAAATAATCATCGAAATTATACAATTGTGCTAGCTTTTCATTGGAGAATTTTTCAAACGTGATCCCAGCATCATATCCATTACTTCCACCAAGTAAATGTGTACAAAATCTTTCAGGTACTTGATAGCAAGAAATATCCATTGAAAAACTAACGAAATATCCAACAACTATGTAAGAAGTGGCAATGCTAATCAACTTTGATGATTGTTCTTCAGCATCTTTGAGTTGTTGTTTAAGGCTTTCCAATAGATGAATTTCTTCCACTTGATTAAGACTTTGTACTTGTTCATCAGTGAATTCAAGTAGGGTGTAGGCGTGGGTGTGTGGATGTGGGTGTGGGTGTGGGTGGGTGTGGGTGTGAGTGTGGGTGTGGGTGTGGGTGTGGGTGTAGAAGAAATAAGAACACACGCACTTGAATAGTTGCTGTTTTAATTTTTTTCATAATAATAATCAACTTCTTGAATAAGTTTGTGCAGGTGAAAAACAACTCTTCTTATAGGAATAACTGCAGCATTTCTTGCTCTATGTGGAAATGCTGTTGATATTGTTTCTAGTGATTGAAATAAAGCAATCGAAGGATGTGGGTGTGATTGTGGATGTAGATGTAGCTTTCGTCACTCACACACATTCACAACCACACCCACGCAGCTATCCACCAACATCCATACCTTTCCGATCCAACAACCACCTTTTTCGACATAATCATATAATTGATTATCATCGAACATTACGATGGTTCGTTACTCATTCGATAGTAATATCATCTGTTTCATTATTTATAAAATTTCAAAATGATTTAATGTGTCAAGAGAAATTACAAAAAAAGTGAAATGCTACCTACTTCAAAGTTACAACGAGTTTTTCTTAATAATAGAAAGGGTTCTTAATCAGTTTTTTTCCTTCATAAAATTATCAAACGTCCAATCTTCACCATATTTCCAAGCAGCGTCTGTTAAACTTGCCATCTTTTCAAACCAATGTTTTGCTATTGATTGGTTCTTCTCACCAGGTTCGTACAGTAGAGTATAATCGAGGCTTTTAATTGAACAAACCAGCAGAACATTTGTGCCAACCGTAGGACAACCATTTGATCCAACACAATAATAATGTTTTAGTTTAACTTCTTCAAACTCTTGTTGAAATGAATATGGACCAATATTGGAAAAGTTCAGATCATTTATGCGACCATCATTTCGATTAGTTTGTTCTTCTATTTGTTTATCGTTTGAACATAGACGATTTGAACGAAGATAAATGAGATGTTTGTCATCGGATAGGTTATTCTGCAGTTCTCTGTGAACGACATGACAGAGTGACCAGAATTTCGTTTGAAGGGAGACAACAATGTTACTTAAATTCATCATTCCAATATGGAGACCGACATGCTCATGACGAGGAAGTGGCGAAGAATAACGATGGCGCAAATTGACGTCAAGGTCGAACTGAAAGTTTGATAGGCAAGATGAAGCTTGATGAAGCCTAAATTAGAGAGAAATAGCGAAAGCACTCAGTGAAATTAAACATTCTTGCCAGTTTTTTTCTAAAATTGTGCAAATCTTCGACAGCTTTAAAAAGAAGAAAGTAGTTCTTATATATATTGAATTTGTCTGATACTAGGCAATCTTCTGTTCTTTATTTTGTGTGGATGGTTTTATCTACTATAAAGATGATCTTTCTCAAGTTTTTCTTGCTAATGAATCTGTATTTCTGCCATTTGGCAGAAAATTTTATAAAGATTAATGAGCATTTTAAGGGATGAGTTTCAGTTTGGAGTCGACACTTTAAAAAAGGAATTTGTTAAAACCTGTAATGATTTGTCACTCTTGCCACTAACGCCAACTCTTTATTAGTTTTCGAAAAAGAATATCTGAGCTCTCGGCAGTCATCAAAGGCAATCAAGAAAGTTCAAGATTCCAAAAATCCAATAAAAATTTTCAACACTTCTGATATCTGTATAGTAGACAGAAAAGTGTAGTTTGTTATAGTGTTTGGTCCTTCATCTCTACCACTCGGATGAAGATGAAATATTTAATCCCACGAGGGAGCCTTTCCAACTGACACGCTCCTTTTGAGCTCATACTTTGCCCAAAGGTAAGGCTCATAGAATAGAGGGCCGTGATTCTCCTCAGCGACATCAGAAAAACCTTTCTTTCAAATTTCGACTTGAGAATTTGCACACAGACGGATCTTCATCAGAGTAGTTTATCGTCGAAGTTTCTGAGCTGTACCTTCTTTCTTTCCACAGACGCGACTATGGTAATAGTACATCACTTAGGGAGTCGTATATTGATGTTCTTATTTTTGATTAGGAGTATTCCAAAAAGCTTAAACTTCGATGATTAACTACCCTAATGGCAGTGGGCTATAAAGTCAATATCTTAAAAATGCAGTATCTTAACAGCAACAAGCTAATGGCATGAATCTTTTGGAGAACTTTCCCTACTTTATGAGCCCTACCCATGTGCAAAACATGAGCTCAAAAGGAGCGTATCAGTTGGGGAGGTTCCCTCGTCAATCATGATTCTGACGTCTTCAAGTCTCTTGAGTCGAGATTTTTCAGCATTCGTAAGAACACTCTCTGAATGGATTACGTACTTATGATAGTTAACGTTAAAATGAATTTCTGTGGATTTAAGACGAACAGGCTTCAGTTTGCTCTTTTAGAGTTAACGGTAAACAGCTTGAAAGAAGTTATCAATCTGACATAGCTTTTTTTTCAAGCCTGAAATGATGAGGTTTTCTGGCAAAACCGTTGAATAGAAGTCAACTAAAGCCATTTGAACAACTATCCAATCGTTCTTTGCATAAAGGGAAAAGATTTCGAAAATTCACTGAATAGTGCCTTAACCAAACACTCACCACGTGACTTTGACCAACTCCGCAACTGCAAAATATATCGACGCCAGTAGTATACTTCCTATGGTAACTTTTTCTTGATGACATCTATCCAGTAATTTTACCATATTCTCGGTTGTACCATGAAAGTACAAGATTGAGTTTCGACCTGTCGCTACCTCATAGGGAATAGTGGGTGTCCATCTACGTTTGTAAGCGAGCACTTCTTGCAGCATTTCTTCTGTTTTTCTTTCATCCTTATTCGTAACTTTGGGAAACGCCAATGCTTCACTATCGCAAAGATGTGGAAGTGCTAATGGAAATGGATTCTTGATGAAATAGTAAGAGAGTAATGTATTGAGAATGATCATTCCAGATGTTCCATCAGCGACGGCATGATGGTATTTAATAAGAAGAAATTGTCGACTATTGGCTGAATTCTTATGGTAGAGCACAATTAATTTGAATAGACTTGTTTGCTCACTTCCGAGGTCAAATGGAGTATTCACTTCTTCATTAACTATGTTTTGCCATTCATCTCTCGATTCAAACTCAATGTATGTTGGTGTTGAATATGGCTGTGTGACAAAGTAAAAGTAGTATGGTTTTGTTGCCGAAGTAATATTGAGACGTAAGTTGTGATGCCGGTCGATACACTGATGTAGAGCTAATTCAAGACGTTGCTTATCGAAGTGTTTGGAAGATTCAAGTTCACAAACTCCTATGACGACTGCACTGATGTCGACTGTATATGATTCAAACCACCCGAGGGCACGGTGAAGTGCGACAGCAGCCATAATCTGAAAAGAAGAAAAGCTAGGGGGACACTTTAATTATTTGACGTAAAGTTTCCATGGTTGCATGCATACTCGAAGAGGAACGACAAAAAAACGTGGTTCTGTTGTGCGAATGCAGGCAAATATCACCTGATTTCTCCTTTTATCCTTAAGTATACAACAAAAAAAGCACCAAAAAGTAAAGCACGTTTTCTCCTCACCAAAAGAAAGTGCTGGTTACAACGTTTTTACCACTCTAGTGATTCTATATGTATGGAAGCGTAGCTTCTCATTCCAGAAAATAAATTTCAATTAGCGTCAAGAAAAGAATACCTTGATGAAGCGAAACGAAAGTCTGAATGGAAGTTATTATTTTTATTTCATTGCATTTCAATAATACACTGATATCATAGGAATGTATCATGGTTCACACCAATCGCTTCATATGCATTTTCTTACTAGCTGTCGGTTCGCTCTCTTGCTGAAATGTCAACATTTGCGTTGGTGATATGCTAGAGAATCGACGCAAGAAAAGGTTAAAGTGATAAGAGAGATAATCGAAAATGGTATATTATCAGACCTCCATGATTCATATGCGAATAGACAGATTTGATCATCAGCAATGCACTTACCAGTAAGATACTCGGGCAATGGGTTCTATGGTGCGAATCTTATATAAAAAAAACTCCGCATTTAATTCTGAGTCGAATGACGTATTTCCCACGGGGAGCATTTACTCCGAGAGCCTCTTTTTTAGGCTGGAAACTTTTCGCTGATGGAGTCCTCTTTTGGTCTCACTAGTGGTTGGTGGGATATGAAAGAACTGTTAACGGTCTTTCTNATCACTAGAGTGGTAAAAACGTTGTAACCAGCACTTTCTTTTGGTGAGGAGAAAACGTGCTTTACTTTTTGGTGGGATATGAAAGAACTGTTAACGGTCTTTCTGTGACGATTTCGTTGATCATTCTCATTTCTGTGTTCATTCATTTTCAATTAAGTCCTTGAATAAAATGTAATGTCTTTCTTTATTCGATCTTTAAGATTGACTCTTAGAATATTTCTTTTGCTAGTGATAATTTGTAGTAATGTTGATTCACTGCCGATGGAAGAATGCCGATGAAAATTACACAAAGAAAGTTTTTTTCTTGTTTGTAATTGTATTAATTTTTTCATCGCTATTTATTTTTAGGGTGTGGGTGGGTGTATTGATCTATTAATGGTTACACCCACATCCTATAGAATGAAGTTTTTCAAAACAATAGCAGACAAAATGGTGGTCCTGTTCAGAGATTCAAGTCAAGTATCGTAAGTTAGATCAGAGGAGAAAGTCAACATGAGTTAAGAGAGTTTTCTAAAAAAAAATCAGTGTTGTCGAGTGTTGCTTACGGGAGGATTTTGAATTTTCTAAAATTAAGCACTTTAGCTCTTTTATAAGACAATATATTAAGGATCCTCACAGAAAGATTGATTGCGAAGATTTCATCGCGGCGTCAATTGGTGTTTTATCAATTTCTAATTAAAACTAGTTAATATTTAGTTCATCACATGAATCTTAATAGCAATAAAAACGAGAACTTCTTTTCAACTTTTTATTTTATTCAATCACGAACTTTATAGAATTTTGAAGTACTGCTGAATTTATTTCTGGTTATGTTTGGGTGTTTATATAAAAAAGCAGAAGCTCTGGCGAAATCCGAGAAGAAAGCTTTTTTTCTTGTTTAGCTAGAACTTTCGAAAGATCTATCTTGAAAGGAAAGTTGAAGAATCCTGCGATTCGAATATTATTTTCAATGTACATAATTATTGCAGTAATTGCTTTTTTCATTAAATAGTTATGTTGTATAATAGACAAATCATTTAGTAACGTCTACTCATATTTGGATTATGTATGTATCAAGAACAAATAGATGTAGCTTTCCAGAATTCGTTCGTAAACTTAGAGAAAAATCAGCGAATCCTAGCAGAATTCCTATTGGACTCATCAAGGATCTAGTGCGGAAACAAATGAGAAGTAACACGTAAATAACCACCTTCAAATAACGGCAATGTATTCAGTTATTTCTTAAGCGAAAGAAATGAAATCGGAGAAAAAGATCCAACCATGTGATATAATATATTAAAATGAAAACTAATGCACAGCGTATAGTAGCTGTTGAGAATGTGATACTTCATTCTACGATGTATCTATAATCAGTGCCAGTTTCCATTATTGTTACTAGTAAATAAGCAGTAAGAATTAACCCACTATTTTTAAAAAATACGCTAAAAAAGTGATGTTTTACTGTAACATTCTGTAGAATAACAACTATGATATCACATTTGGTTTTAGATTTCTCTGATTCTTAGTTTGAATAACATGTTACGCAGTTTTTTTTAATCTCTAAACAGCTTTGTATTTTAGACTTCGAAGGCTTAAACCTTACTTCGAGAAGATTTTGATTCATTGTGATTTTTCAAGCGTATGATTTGGATCAGTAGCTGCTAGTCCAAATGTCTTCGATGTAAAAAGTTTTGAGAAAACTATTTTTCCGAATTCACTTGAGATATTTTTCTTCTTCGAAGAGAAGAAAAATAAAGCCGGTGCGTACCTCATCTTTTTTAAATCACGTTGTCTTTAAATTATTACATCAATTAAACTGTGTTCTATCTACAGAACAAACCCTATAAAATATGTCATTATTTTAAATGGAATACACACTATCTTTGATGCAACAGTTTTTACAAGTTTCTTTCCACGATTTCAAGACTCG